AATAGATTTAGATAAAAAGAATCATAAGCTAACTCAATAGCCAGCATCTGATAATCCCAAGAACAAAGGTATTTGAGAAAAAAATCCCCTATTTGGCAAGAATTGGAAAAATTGGAAAGTAGTTTGATTAAAAAAATAACAAAACAACAAAAAAGGATTAATATGCTTATTTTATACCACATACTACTTTAAATACATGACCTGAATATAAAAGTGAAGCCAATTTTAAAATTTGGAAGAAGATGGAATGAAGAGGCTTTCACAACTGTGGCTAATCAGTTGAATTCTTAGCCAAACAAAGTATAAACAAAATTATGAAAGATAAAATGGAAAATTTTGAGAAGTATAGTATAAGTTATCAAATACAATATAGTATTGTGTAGTACAATATAGTATTGAATATATATGATGTACATACACAATTGTATACATATATATAATATGTTGTATATAATATACAATATAGTATAGTACTGTATGGCATGGATGGTATAGTATAGTACGGTAAAGTATAGTTCTCAGAAATAAAATAGGGCTATTCATAGAGAAATGGGAATAGGAGGACCTTGGTAATAAATTCAGCTTTTATCAGCTATGTGACCATAGGAAAGGGTTAGATTAGATGGTAAGGGAACTAAATTCTCTCTAGTTATAAATTCTGTAATCCAATAACATGGGACAAGTACTTCAGATCCCAATGTCTGGGATGAAAGGCAATGCTATTCATAAGTGGTTTAGGGAAAACTTCAAGGTAGAGATAATTAATGATAATTGAGCCATTACATTGCACTGTAGTAGGTAATGCGTGGCCAGTTGTTGGCAAAGTCACGTGTAGAGCAGGTTCATAACTTGAAGCAATAGTCCAGTTACTTAAAAGAAAGTCATGATGCTTTTCCCAACTCAGGCCGCAAAGAAAATGCTCCTATCTTGTTTCTCTATTGCCGGTCTCTGACTTCTGAAAGCCATCCTGCATTTCAGACCACATTGCACATCCTAAAATGTCACTTTGATCATAACATACCTTTACTCATAAACCTTTAATGCTTTTAAACTGCCAAAAGGAAAAGGGCAAATTCTGGCCACAGCTCATCACCCTAGTCATACTTCTTTATTCTTCTTCATAAACATTACACTCTAACCTTGTTCATCCATTCCCTGCCTCTTATATTTTGCATACCTTTGCTTCTGTCATGTACCCCACTCTCCATCCAATATCCTTCTTACTCTGTCTATTCAAATCTGACTCTTATTAGGCCAAGCCCAACTGCCACTTTCTCCTTGAATTGTATCATGATCAATCCAGCTCACAAGTTATCTAATCTTCGCCTTAACTTCTAAAGTCTGTTATTTGGCATGGTGAAAAAGTGCTGAATTTGGAATACAATGAAGTGCGCTTAAAATCATGAGACTTGAATTTGGATGTGGCGCAGTGGATAGAACACTGGCCCTGGAGTCAAGAAGACCCAAGTTCAAATACAGCCTCAGACATTTACAAACTGTGCCACCCTGGGAAAGTCACTTAACCTCTGTTGTCTCAGTTTCCTCAATTGCAAAGTGGGATAATAATAGCACCAGAGTTGTGAGGATGAACTGAGTTATAGTTATAGAGCACTGAGTACCGTGCCATATAGTAAGCACTATATAAATGTTAGCTATTATTAATTATCATCACTACTCCTCGTGTGTGGCCTTAGGCAATTAGTTAAGATCCCTGGGCTGCTGTTTCCTCATCTGTAAAATGATCAGTAGATGGCCTCTGAGACTTTTTCCAATTCCTGTGGACCTATTCTATGTACTGTTAGTCAGTTTTTCACCCATGAATTTCCTGTCTCCCCTGGTAGGGCACAAGTTCTTGGAAAAAAAGGATTGTATACATTATATCAAAAGGTATAGGACTTTGCGCATAGTAGGTACTCAACACCTATTTAATTGATTGATTATAGCTGAGTCATCAAACCTGGACACCCCACAGCCCATCCTGTCTACTGTTTCCTTTCAACTGGGCAGAGCTGACCAGAGTGTTTTTATTATTTCAGTTTTGTTAAGTCTGTGGAGCAATAAATTTATTTTAAGGCAATGATCTTGCTCTTTTCCTCTTGTTCCCATAAATTACAGCACAACAACCCCTGCACAAATAGTTTGGTTTGATATCACCCATTAATCTTTGCTATAATTTGTAAGCGGACTTCAGTGGAATGAACTTGGTTTTAATTAAATCTTGAAGTTTCCCAGTATTTCATAACTCTTCCTTACATTGCACTATAAAAGGAGGAGTTCATATAATTTCATGGGGAGCAATTCCCTTTACTACATATATGCAAAATATACCTCTTCTCTTAGAATTCTTGTCCTAGTCCATTTTATTTCCCTCATAGTGAAACTTTTTTCTGCACTATAAAAAGAACTGAAAGAGACTTTAAAACTTCAGGTATGGGGATAGAAATAAGAAATTCTTTATTAGACAGAGCAGTCTAGTCGAAGGTGCCCTGTAGTAGGAATTGAGAAGCTGGGGTTCTAGTCTCAGGTCTGCTGCAGAATTACTTTGTGCTCTACTTATTACAGTAGAAAGAATATTGCATTGGGAATCAGAGGATGTGGGTTCAAATACCCAGTTTTCCACTACTTCTATGGTTTTGGGTAATGCATGTAACCAGTCTCATTGTTGGCAAAATGAGGATTTGTTCTAATGTCCTTTCTATCTCTAAGCATCCATGAATTTTATCAATGACATAGATAAATTTTGATACAGGTATACCTCCCTTCATGTCAGACTTTCTTAAGCTTTTTTTGTGACAAGGACACCTTCAGCAGTCTGATGAAGCCCTGGATTTCTTCTTAAAATAATGCTTTTAAGTGTGAAAATTAAAATATATAAAATTACAAAGAAAATCAATTCTATTGAAATATAGTTATGAAAACAGATACTAAAATTCACAGACCCTAGGTTCAGAATCTCTACTCCAGGTAATAAATACTCCTGAAAAGTTGCTCAGAAATGAAATTTTTCAACTATATTGGTTTTAAGAGTATTGAGAAAGAACTCTGGATTTAAAGGAATCTTGCTTAAAGTACTGATATAATAGATGAAGTACTTTTGTGATATCAATGATCTCTTCCTACTTCTGTCTCCTGAAATCACGTTGATAATGCAAATCTTTCATTTATGAAAGGTTACATGTTAGTGCATAAACTTAAGTTGTGGTTATCAGGTTCAGGCAGGGGAATTCTTGGTTTTGGTGTGGAATGCCATATCTTTGGTCATTACCTTCACACAGGGAGCTAGGGCTCTAGACAGATTTTATGGGTTCTAGACAGATTTAAAAATTGCACCCTATCTTACTGTTCCTAAGAGATTTTGAGCCTTCATTAATACATCTGCAACTTATCACAGAATAAATCTCCAAGTATCATGGAGACCAGAATTTTCTGGCACTAAATATATTTATGCATATGAATAAACTGAACCTTTTGTTATTTCCCATGAACTACATTTCATCTCATACCTCCATGACTGCAGAGGCTATCCCCCTTGCATTATCATCAACAAGTATTACTTTATTGTCATCACTTAGTATTATTATGGCTATTAGTACCAGGCAATATGGTAAATGCTTAGCACAGTGACTAGCATACAGTAAGTACTTAATAAATGTTTCTTGAGTAAATGAATAAATGCTAGGCATACAAAGAAAGGTAAAAATGTAGTTTCTGCTCCCAAGGATCACTCTAATGGAGGAGATAACTTGTAGACAGTTATGTACATCTAAGATACATACAAGGCAGGTAGGTGGCTCAGTGGATAGAGTGCTAGGCCTGGAGTCAGGAAGACCTGAGTTCAATTCTGGCCTTAGATACTTACTAGCTGTGTGACCCTGGGCACTTTACTTAAATTCTCTTTGCCTTTGTCCACTGGAGAAAGAAATGACAAACTACTCAGTATCATTGCCAAGAAAACCCCATGGACAGCATTAGTATGCTATGGTCCATAGAGTCATGAAGAGTTGGACATGAATGAACAGCAATAATAAAATACATATAGTATAAATGGGAAGTAATCTCGGAGGGAAAGCTTTAGGAGCAAGGAGTAAAAGTCTCTTGAAGAAGTAGGATTTGAGCTGAGATTTGAGAGTTTGAGAAGTCAAAGAATCTTGGAGGTTGACATGAGGAAGGAAAGCATTCCAGGAAAGGAGAAACATGTTCTCAAGGAACCTAAAGTATTATTGAAGAGAGTAGATCCACACAGATTTACCCAGCAATGAGCAATTAGGTTCTAAACTGTACACTGTTCTAGAAGGATATGAGTGGTCAAGGTTGTAAGGGAGGTCCTCACAACATTCTGGAAATGACTAGAATTTCTAACTGAAAACATTTCAGGTGGTTATAAAGTGTAGGAGTAGGGATTGAAGTTTTTCAGTCAGCTCACAAAGAGCCTTAGCTTTATTACCAGTGTAAATTATTATACAGAGCAGGGCTTCCTTTTCATTTTCCAACAGAATTAGATGTTTTCATTTCAGCTTGATTATCTACAGCTTCTTCAGGATTTTTTCAATTAACAGCCCTTGGAGCTGTGCTTTTAACCAAATTATACTTAATCATACTATCCATAGCCAGGAGGGAGAATTTGGGGGCTTGGATGCCATCTAAAGTTTTCAGGTAATTAAAAATCCAATATTCTTCCACTCAGGAAAAAAAAATACATAACCAATAAGGCCACAAAGTCATGATGGCCTAAAAGTAAACATGATTTAAAAGTCTTCTTTCATAAAGAATTAATATTTAATCCTTACTCTTCCTTCCTGATGCGTCAGTGGGGAGACTTTTTTTCTCCATCTTGGGTGGAATGTCAAAATTTACATTTAAATGGGGATGTTTTACTGAGTCTCATACACAGCCTGTAGCTATTCAGGGCCCTAATGAGAGTGTTAATTTATATAGTTTTAGATGTGCAGCCTTGATTAGATCTCAGAGAAGGCACAGCCTTGAAATAAGTTTTCAGAGGCAAGTTTTCAAAGCTTTTTAATGGGAATACTTTGAAAGGAAAGCAACTTTTCCTTGGAGACTCCCATCATGTTTTGAGTGACACTTTCTCAGGAATTTGCCAATTATGTGCTTCTTTCTTCTTTGCCTCCTCTGAACGCTGGATAATACTCATTTTCCCTCTTTTCTGCAAAACCAGGGACAACAAAACTGGAAAGAAAAAAAGAGAGTTTTGTAACAACTTTTTTCAATAGAAAAAAAATCATCAGCATCATAGATAGCTCTTTTATATCCACACCTGCAGATCTAAGGACCTCTTTTTTTTTTTATTTGGAAGAAGGAATGCTATGTTGAAACTGAACATTTCTGTAGAGGAGACAGCGGCTGCCACACCATATTGTTCACTTAAGACTGTTTTGGAGGACCAGGTTATCAGCCTCCTAAGCCTCGTAAAATCCAAATGCTGCTTTTCTAAAGGGAATATCCACTTTAAGCTAAGGGGGTAAACACTGGTTCATGGTTAAGAGACTTTGGATTAGGAGATAAAGCAGATCAAAAAGGAGGTTATTTTTTCTGTCTTTTATTCCTTAAACATATTGTCTAGTTTTTTTTTTCTTGTGTTAGGGCAGCAATATCTGACTTACGGACCAAATGAAATTGCCTTAGAATTTTCATTTGTTCAGCTTACTTCAGTTGCTTGGAGAGAGGGCTTTGTGTTGCAGGCATGAGTAGGAGTTTTCACCTTGCTACTTTGGAAAAGGTTAGAGGTGTTGGGAATGGACAAGATGTGTTGTTGTGTCCATAGAGATTCAGAGACAATGTCTATTCTTCTTTATTGAATCATGTCCTAGACACCAGAGTCAAAAGAAAGGTGGATGGAGAAAGTATTATGACCTCAGAGCAATTCTAGTAGGAGAGTGTTAGGAACTCCAACGTGAGGGGAATAAAGAACAGATAAAGGTTGACATGCTAAGCAACTTGTACCCTCTGCTTCCAACTCAGTCAAATCTTTTTTAACCTTCTTCACAGTGTTATCAGGAAAACAATGAAATAATATACACGAAAGTGCTTTAAACACTACAAAGTTACTATGTGAGAGATGGTATGGCATTTGGGATAGAGTGCAGGCCTTTGGAGTCAGGAAGACTTGGTTTCAAGTACCACCTCAGATACTGCCTGTGAGACCCTGGGCAAGTCACTTAACCTGTGGGTCATAGTTTCTCATCTTTAAAATGGGGATAATGATAGCACTTACCTTATGGGTTGTTATGAGAATCAAATGTGATAATGTATGCAAAATTTTGGACAAATCTTAAAAAGGTGCAATGTAAATGTGAGCTATTATTAAGTAAATAGAGACTACTTTGTGGTTCTATGGAAAGAAAGCTGGGGAGGAGACAAAGACAGGTTCTAGTACTAGGTTCTTCTATTGACTTTAGTGCCCAAGTTATAATTCAATATAGAAGGGGCAGCACAGAGAGAAGAGTGAGATTATCACTGATAATCATTGTCACTGACTTCCTATGGACACAACCTGCCCAGCTTATGCCCCAGTGTATGGTATTTAAAGCCCCTTACCACTTGACTCCAAACCTTCTTCCCAGACTTGGACATTACTTTCCTTAACTCATCTTATGCTCCAAACTTCTTGTTATTCCTCTTGCACAACATTATAATTCTCCTCTCTGAACCTCTGTACCATCTGCCCTCTGTGCCTGGAATGCACTTCCTTCTAGCCTCAGCTTCTTAGAATTCGTTGTTTATCATTTATAGTCTGGTGATACGTTGGGTAGAACTCTGGATCTCAGTTAACATCCTGCCTTACACATTTACTACCTGTGTGACCCTAGGCAAGTCACTTAACCTCTGTCTTCTTGAGTTTTCTCAACTATAAAATGGGGATAATGATAGCACCCATTTCCCTTGGTTGTTTACATTCACTCGGAGCCATCAAAACCCAAACAATGACCAAACAGAGGCTTGGGGTGGGACTTATTATTGGCCAATCAGTGAGAACCACAGTTATTTGGGTTTAAGGCATACTCAAGTAGCTCCATTTGAATCCCAATGAGCCTTACCAAACCTGTCTTTTCCAGAGCTCTATTTCAAGAAATCCACTTTCCTTTGGGTAGAGTACCCACAAGTAAGTCATTGTTTGTGTTTTGACAGCTCAGAGTGTAAATAACAATTGTTTCTGTTCTATCCAGAAATCCTGAGGCTCTTCTCCTGCAGATTAAATTTTTGAATAGATAAAAGAGGTCTTCTTTTGCCTCACTTCTTATCTAGCCTTAATCACTGAATGGGCATTGCCTCAAACAAACTGAGACCTGAGAAAGACCTTAGCTTAAAAAGACCAGTTTCCCCCTGCATCCAAGGCCATCTCCAGTCATCCAGATCCATGTCTTGCCACTGGACCCTGATGGCTTTGGAGGAGAGAATGAGGCTGGTGACACTTGCAAGTCAAAACATCACCTTCCTGTTGTCATTGGTCCTTTTGGAGAATGAAGGACCCCCCCAGCTGGGGACCTAAGTAGCCAGTTCCAGTTGGGCACTACTGCTCTTTTCTTCCTTCCTTCCTTCCTTCCTTCCTTCCTTCCTTCCTTCCTTCCTTCCTTCCTTCCTTCCTTCCTTCCTTCCTTCCTTCCTTCCTTCCTGCCTTCCTGCCTTCCTTCCTGCCTTCCTTCCTTCCTTCCTTCCTGCCTTCCTTCCTCCTTTTCTCCCTCCTTCTGTCTACATGGGGGATCATGCACTTATAAGTATTTATTAAACACTATATAAATGCTAGCTAATTGGTAAGCATTTACTAAACCTTTATTATATGTCAGTTACTGTTATTATTATTAATGGCTATTATTGTTATTGTTTCCTTCAAAATTCAGATCAAGCATCACCTTCTACATGAAATATTTTCTGATGAGCTTTTGTACGTAGTTATCTGCATGTTATCTTCCCTGGTAGAACAAAAGTCCCTTGAGGATAGGACTGTCTTATATTTGTGTTTATATCCCTATTGAGTCTGGCCCACTAAATGCTTGTTGATTAAATGATTTATTGGAAATCCTGGTGTATCTTTTGATCAGCAAGGAGCTGATGGGAAACACAGTTTTCCTCAAATGGAAGGAGGGATTGAAAGATGATAGTAGGTGAAAGCTATGGTGGAATGGAAAAGCCCAGAATCTTTGGAGCTCCGCAGATACTATCAGATTGGAGAGTGCTGATGTGGGCCACTGCCAGCAGCCAGTGGATTGCAAATGAAAGGTGCTGCTTCCCTGAACTGAATATAATCATGCACATTTGGAGCCTTCTCAGGCTTTTATTGTAGTTCAGTTGTGTCTGACCCTTTGTGACCTTATGGATTATGCTATTCATGGGATTTTCTAAGCAAAGATACTGGAGTGGTTTGTCATTTCCTTCTCCAGTGGATTAAGGCAAACAGAGGTTAAGTGACTTTCCCAGGGTCACACAGCTAGTAAGTGTCTGAGGCTGGATTTGAATTTAGGTGTTACTGACTTTGGGCCCTGTGCTCTATCCACTGAGCCAGCTAGTTGCCTCTTTTTTAGGCTACTGACCCATTTAAAGAGTAATCTGACAGTATGGAATTTTGTTCTTTTGCTAATACTGGGACCTGGTGAATTTTTCTCTTCTTCCACTTCCTACCCCTTCCTAGTACCATTCAATCTGGTGAATTGGCATCACTTAACCGTAAATCTCTTTTGCTTACTATCTATACTTTTATGATGGATTTTGTCTCCAGATAAAGATAAGCTAATTTTTATTGCATTCTGAGTGTGTTTGCTTGAAATCAGTGAACAACACTGTTGGAAAACACATAGGAGAATCTTTGTATAAATAGTCCTAGACTTACTTCTGAGCCTATATTGAAGCGTTTCTCTCTCTCTCTCTCTCTCTCTCTCTCTCTCTCTCTCTCTCTCTCTCTCTGTCTCTCTCTGTCTCTGTCTCTCCCTATCTCTCTCTCTCTGTCTCTCTCTGTCTCTGTCTCTCCCTATCTCTCTCTGTCTGTCTGTCTCTGTCTCTATCTCATCAGTATTGAAATTGAGCTATACTTCCAGCCTGGGTGAGATGGGGATACCCGGTCTCCAGAATGAAAAAAAGGGTCTTTATTTTCCAGATGTTATGTTAGGCACCAGGCTACAGAATCAGAGATTCTGTCCTTGCCCCAAAGAAGCTTGCCTAGGCAAAGATATATATGTAGCATTGACAGGACAGCTACCCTTAGATCCTAGAGTGCCTGACCCTGGGGTAAACTGAAGCTCTGATCAAACCCAGGGACCAGCTCTCTCTCTCTAGGAGTATAGATGTATCTCAGTGGCCCTCTATCACTACTTACATTCTTTTATACTTGGAAATACACAATGTACTTTGCTGCTTTATAAATCTAATGAATGGAAGCCCCCTGACACTTATGAATATACAATCATAACTAAGATTAAAATGTGTGACAGACACAACTTATGTCTGTACCTTATGAATTTAGCAGTCATCTTATCAATTTTTGTCAATATATCCTCTGGGTATAGATAGGGAGTTATGTTTTGACTAGCCTGCCTTCAGCTGGGTTGGGTGTGGTAGGAATAAAGGTAAAATCCAGATTAGAACTTAAAGGAAAATTTGATAAGGGAGAAAACTCTTTGGGGGGGGGTCTGAGAAGGTTTCCTGAAGGAAGTAGCACCTGAGCTGAGCCTTGAAAAAAGATAAGGATAAGAACCCCCAAAATGAAGGTTATGGTACTTGCCTTTCCCACTTTATGGCATTAGTCAGTCCATAAGCATTTATAAAGCACTTACTATGTGCCAAGCACTGTGCTTGATTCTCTGTGCTAGACAGAGGGGAAGGAGGGAGGGAGGAAGGAAGGAAACTGTCCAGCTGGGTCCCCAGTGGAGCAGCTACTACTACTCGCAGGTTGTTGTTTGTCCTTCATTTTCAAAGAGGACCAATGACATCAGGAAGGTAATGTCTTGACTTGCAAGTGAACTGAATTTAAGTGAGGCAGGGCTGTGCAGAGTCACCAGCCCCACTCTCTCCTCCACAGCATCTGAATCCAATGGCAAGAAACAAGAAAAAACAAAAACAAAAACAAAAACATGGTTTCTGCCTTCATAGAGCTCATGCTGTTAGGATCAGCGAGATGGTAATGGTTATGAAGGCCCTTTGCAAATTATAAAGTTCCATAAAAATGTAAAATATTATTTTCACTGTTACCCTCATCCATAAAGTTGACTTCCTTTTCTGGGCCTTCACTCATTTTTCCTGCCAAAAATGTCCTCTTTGCTCCTATCACAATCCTATGCTTTCTTCAAGAATGACTTAGCCAAGGTCACACAGGCAGCAAGTAGCAGAGTCAAGATTTTAACCCACTACACATTCAGGGATTTTTGCATTATACCATATTTGTTGAATAGAGTGAATGAGTGAAGCAACCTAGCAATCAGTTGGGCAATGAAAACAAGCAAACAAATAAACAACAACAAAAACCTCAAACCAAAATCAAGTTTTGTACCTTTTGTATGATATATAAGAAGGCTAAGATACCATTCTGTCCTCAGAGAGCTTATAGTCTAAAATAACAATGATGATGAAAACTGACATTTAGACAGTGCTTTAAAGTTTTCAAAGTAATCTACGTATGTTGTGTATTTAATCCTGATAACAATGCTATGAGGTAGCTACAGTTAATATTGGCCTATTTTATGGACGAAAAAAAACCCCTGAGGCTTAAATATGTCAAGCCTATGGTCACATAGCTTTTAAATGGTAGAGGCGGGATTAAAATCCAGGTCATTATTGACTCCAAGTAGAATGAATTTCTTACTATATGTGGAAG